CATAATTTTTTCTTGATCCAACTTACTAACATTTTTCCTATTATTTTTTATTATTTGTTTAAGGATATTGAATTGTATGTTATTCAAAAATAATTAAATATATTTAATTAATTAAAAGTTTGGCATATATGTTATAAGTAGTGCATTTACCCATAAAATTAGTGATTAATATAAAAATTTGTATAACTTTTTTGTATATAAAAATTATGGATCAAACTCAAGCTCTATGACTAATAGTATGTTTGGATTGAGAGGAATGGAGGGAAAGGGAAAAATTCCCTTTACTTTATTTTTTCTTTTAATTTAGTTACTTATCCAAATGAGGAGAGAGGAGGGAAAATTTTCCCCTTCCCTTCAACCCAAACATAAGATAAGAATATACATAATTCTACTAACAAACTATATAACTAATAGTTAAAAATTAATATAAATTATATTGATATAAACTTATTATAATTCTAAAAAATTTTAAGATTTCACCCCCCCCTCACCTAAAAGTCTGGCTCTGTCCCTGCCTGGTAGTGTGGAAAATCTCAATTAGGAAACTGAACTGAACTAAGACTAATGGTGAAATGAGTGATTATTGCAATAGGGAACACCATTAAATGCAGAGTATAGCTTGCTTTCTAGCACATTCTCGTTCAATATTTGAAGACTAGAAGCTGATAAAAAATATATAGATTTGAAGAATGGAATGTCAGTGAGACCAGATGGTTTACCATTTTCTTCTCTTCATCAAGCTTTTGCCTCTCACGCTCTGTTAGCACTTCACGCTTGTTTAATTCTTTGCTCCAGCTATCAAGTTTCCTTTTCTTTGCTTCAAGTTCATAGTTTAGCTTTTCCTGTTCATCCAAGACTCTTCGGACACTGTCACGTGCATGCCTCTGCACCTTCCTTGTCTCTGACAAACAATTAAAACAATAAATATCAGAATGCAATTTATCCTTTTTGTCTGACAGGGTATATGGTTGCTGGCCTGTTGAACAAACAATTAGCAACTGACTTATAATTGATTCTCTATGAACACATATAGATCCATACAAGAAGAGAAAACCAAGTATACATGAGGTGATGCACACCATGTCATTCATAAACTCTTCTGCTCAGCTAATGAGAAAATAAATTGCATATTCTTTAGGGAAAACAGTGGTAAATGTTACCAAGTATATATACAGACATCACAAGCATATAGATAAGTGCACACAAACAGGTCCAGGTAAAGAGATTGGAAGAAACCTTCCAGAAAAGCAAGGTGTAGTTTGTCCTTCTCTTCAACCATCCTGCTCAATGTCATGGTCTTCTCATTGTACTTGTACTTCCATTCATCGAGATTTTGATTAGTCAAGTCAATTGTATTAGCCAGTTCTTCCACAACACTATTCCTATCCTCATTGCCTTCTTGTTGAATCTCAGCAATAGTCTTTAATTTTCCTTCCTTTCGAAGGTACTCTCCCATTGGGCCCTCAGACTGATAATCATCAGCACGTGCAGACCAGCCATAAACATCTGAACCAGGATTTGCTTCTTGTGCACTCCAATGCTTCTTGCCATGATTCTCCACTTCAAATGCTCTATCAAATTCCGTTGCGATGAGGTAACCTTTCCAATCACTATTGAATTTCACTATGGCCTGCCCTGGTAGGTCTTGTTCACTCCAGAATATCTGAACATCTGAAGGCTGGTATCTGGAAAACTTTTCTAACCAATACTCCTTTTCAAGCATGACCATTTTCTCCTTTGTGTCAGCCACAATGTTAACAATAATTCCCATCCAAGGCCACACATAGAGCTCAACTTCCTTTGGAGTTTTAACAGGAGGTTGAGATAAAGATGGTCGTAGGTTTGGCTCTGCCTCATTGGCTAGGTCAATCTCCAGATACTTTGCTAAGGCAAGGTGATTTGCCTTTTGTTTCGCACTCCTGTTGGCAGATCCTTTACCAACCCCTGAAGCATGTTGAAGCAGGTCCTTGTATTTGTAATCCTGCTTTTTCTTCCCAGCACAAAAGGGGCATCTTAAGTTTCCACTTACCTTTACTTTATATGTCCCGTCCCTTAGGTCTTCATAAGGTTTTTCTTTGTATTCATTGATCTCTGACTCACTGATATCAGAGTCATCTCCAGAACTATAGTCCATCTGAAAAGACAGAAGGAAAACTTAAAATGAACTCAAACATTTCCCTCATAAAATATCTATAAAAGATGTATAACAAAGGCATTCAGTTCAATTTTGTGTTAAGACAAACCCAAACCGAAATGTGTAGAAAGTCATCATCATTAATTAAGGTTTACATTTACATTTACACCAAAAGGAGCTGAAAGAGGATATAACAATCCAAGTTCCACAAAAACATTAAGGTGTTGTAAGATGCGATGTGTATTTCCTTTTTAAAGAAAGTTGTCATAGCATTTCATCAATTCATTAGATGAACGCAAACACTAGCCCTCTTGAGCAACAACAGATAAAATTAAAGCAGAATCAGTAGCCTCTAGTCTACAGCAAAGATACTAGAAACAAAAACCAATATTTCCAAATATCTCCACTATCCACACAACATCCAGCACAAGAAACTTTTCCATTTGGCAAAAACCCATTTGCAACCCAGTTACCCTCACCTCAAAAATAACCTTAGTCCAGTTTCATGCAATCTTCTAACTCAGTTACCCCACAGTTCTGATTCTTAATCAGTCTAACATTCCACCAATACAAGCATCTCTGATACTAATTAAATAGAAACAACTGTCATTTCATATACCCATTAAAGGCATCAGAGTTTGACTACATTTTGACAGAAACAAACACATTCTCTAAAACCAAACGCCATGGACAAAACATTCCGAGAACAATCAAGGAAATGCGTGAATAATAATTCATCAAACAGAGAAGAAGATCGGATTAATTGAAGAAGAGAGAAACTCACAGCTAACTTTGGAGTCGGAGAAAACGAGAGAGTTGTTCTGATTCTGAGCGTCTCTTCTCTCAGCGGTCAGCTTAGAGCTCAGTGAAACATTTTCAGAGCTTTGGAAAAGGACAAGTTCGGTCTCGAGTAACGAGACGAGAGGACCCTAATGGAGCTAATCCAGTGAATCCGACTTCATGCAATTGACTATCGGCTTAAAATCACCAGGTTCTGGTGGAGGCTAAGATTTTCTCGATGATGTACACGTGGAGGCTGTAGACGGTTTCGCCGTGTCGCGAGATCAGGATACTGTTCTGTCGTGTTTTTATCCGGGTCAAAGAATCCGATATCCGACATTCCATAACGACAAACGGCCCAAATAATTTTTTCTCCTAGGGACCTATGAAGCCCAAAATCTTGCACATAAAACTCTATGGGCCCTATTGCCTGTCTTGCCCTTCTCTTTAGTTATTGGCAGAACCCCAAATCCGTCTTTTAAATAGATCGGCAAGTATAGATTTATTATTTAAAAAATATAAAGATAAATTATTTTTTTAAA